CTGCGCTCACAGTTTCCTAGGTGCAGGCAGCGGGGCTGTGGTGCCTCTTTCCAGCGCCCCGAGGGGAAGGCCGGGCGCTGGCTGGGGCAGAGATACCGCCGTTAGAAGGATGCTCAAGAGCAAAGTTACACTTAAACGATTTTTTTTTTTTTTTTAAATGAAGGAAGTTGAACCACCACAACAAAAAAAGCCCTGTACAGTAGTTAAAATTTATTACAAGTGTCATAAACTTAATGATTTTTAGCACTAAGGCAATCACAGTTTCATAAGTTACATATATATATAATTTACACAAGTCTACACAGAAAAATCCATTACCTGTCACATCAACAAGGGGTTTGTGTTATGGCAAATAAAGTTTATGGAAATTCACAGTTAATCTGCAAGTGTTGTAAGGATGCAGGAATCATATTGCACATAAGAAAACAGTGGGCGCCGAGGAGCAGATTTACAGTGTTCCAGCGATTCCTTCACAGAATATACATTAGTCATCATCATGCAATAACTTCAGATACAGAATGGTAGCATGTACCACGGTAAACAGTTACTCACAATGTAAGTTTATTAAATAGAGTAGCAAAAAGCTGTTAGGTTTCTCTTTAAACCATACTTCTTAAAATACAATAAAAACACCTTGATAAAATCAAACGGAATTACGGTTGTCACATTATATTCTTAGTATTCTTCTTTGTCTTTTCCTTTCTTCTCCTTTTCGTCCTGCAGTGCAGTACCAAGTTTCTTTATAAGGACAGACAAAACTTTGTCCAAGGGATCCATGACACCGCGCTGCAGCCACTTAGGGATAGTAGTCCTTGCATGGTGAAAGCCCAGCTTTTGAAGGATGTAGTCAACACCAACGGGATCAATTTTTCTCCCAGTCCAGGATATTAATCTAAAAAAAATAAATAAGGGACTCAGTCTCAAATATATATGTATAGCAACTGGCATGTGTATAAACGAACATTAATTTTTACCATTGATACTTCTGAACACCTTGAGTCCAACAGGCATTGTTTCAAACTTCATTTATACAGATAAGCAGAACGTGGCCAAAAGAACACCCTCTCCAAGAGGATGCTCAAGGAGACAAAAACCAGACTGGGTGGCGTCCAGATCATGTTTAAACTGATTTATTATTACTGCGAACAAACAACGCCAACTGTGAAGATTTGTTTGGTCTGGGTTGATGTGTTGGTTTGATATGTGACTGAACACACAGGTGCTCCAGCACTGTCAGCAGACATTAAAACAAACAAACAAACCCTGACACAGAGAAAAGTCATTTTCAGTGATTAAGAGTGTATACTGGGAGCACCGAGTTGCTGCTATACACACTCTTCTTTTCTGCCTAGCTTAAAATGCCATACAGCACCTAGTATATAATAGTGCTGTTTTAAAGAACTAAAGCTGAAACGCTAAAAATAGAAAACTGCAAGATGAAAAACTATGTCAGAAAGGGAATGGACTGTTGTAGGGCAGAGTGAAAAACAGTAATCTGTGGTCCTTGATGAGTTTAATTTTGCTGTCTCCTGGTTTTGAAGACCCTCCAACAATACCTTTAATCTGCATAAATCCTAACGCAGAGGTGAACTGCTGTAATAGATAATTGTGTTACCCAGCTTTTGTCACGTCCTCTAGCAGCACTAACAGCCCAAGACGAATCTGTAACAGCACCCACGTGATCGATCCTCTCAGTAGCTGAACAGCATCAACTGGAAACACTTGTGGTTTGAAGGACAGTACCCACAGATAAAATGCATAGACAAAGAGATCACAGATAAGCCAGCTTGTTACCTGAGCGTGGGTTCCAAATGCCAAGTATTGCACATAAATTCTCTCCAGTCGACTGTAGTGTAAGTAATGCTTTCCTCTGCCTCTTTGTCAGCGGAGCTGTCCTCAAGAACACCAACGGAGTTTTTCTGCCCTGGACGAGCAGCCAAAACACGAGGAGGAAAAATTGCTACAAAATGGAGAGAAAAAAACCCCCACACCAGTCAATCGTGAGCATCTCCCCTGAACTCTGTACCTCTTTTAAAGAAACACAAGCACAAACCTCAAAAAAGAGAGAACCACTTGGTGTTTCAGAGAATTTCTGGCAAACAGTTTTGATTTCAACAAAGTGCTAGTAAAAAATAACCTATAAACACTGTAATAGACACTGGATAACACTGGAATGTGGAATTCTTCCTTTTCTCTGCCAGCCCAAAGTATCCATATACAAGGGCTTTCTTTCAAGCTCATCATGGCATTCAACAAAGCATATCACATTCCATAACCAAAATTCAGACACACTCCTCATTTAGAATATTTTTTTAGATTGACAGAGTAGTCCCTGAGGAGGAGGGTGGTGGGGGAACAATTAAATTCAATGTTTGTCCAAAGGCATCAAGGGGACCTGAACCCAGCTCTTACTTGAATTTAAATCCTGGCGTACAGAAAAGCAACAGCAGCCTTCTCCTCCAAACAACATATTTTATAACATAAAAACAGATCTGTGATTCTGGATTGAGTTTTGATTACTTTGAAGACATCTTGAAATAAGAGTCTTTTACAAAATTACACCAAAAATAGTTATCTTTCCCTTTTGTTAATTTCGGCACTTGTTGGATGTTTTGCTATGAAGGAAAATTAGCACTCCTAGCTCTGTTGTACACTATTACATGCAAACAGATTTTGATATGGTTACTTATTAACTTTTAAAATACTGTGTTTAATGTTTTCTACATCATATGTTATAAGTGTTACATTTATACATCATACCATGTTACGTCACATGAATGCTGCATTTATTACTGAACTGCACAGCAACTGTAAACTACTACACACAACACTGAATTTCACACACACGAGAAAAACCAAAAATATGTGGCTTTACTGTGGCGGTAACTCATTGTTTACATGTATATTACCGTGTTACATTACTCTTGTATCAGCCTTTAAAGGAAAAAAAAGTACGGGAATGAGAATCTAGAGTAGGACTGGTGTGGCAAGATTTGGAAAAATCCTATTTTAATATGAGAAGTTGTAGAACTTCAAAGAAGCAGCTTTTAGTTCAGTGATGACACCTAATCTGATATTACATAATTATATAATACTTACATTAAATGTAACATCTGAAATAATTTTATCTGTGATCAACACCTACAGTGCCATTACGATTTTTTTTCCAAGTCTTAAGTGATTTAGTAGGTTTTAGATATTTTTGGCAATAATTTCTTGTAAAGCGTTAAAGCCACTATATGATAACTTTCCCTTCAACATAGTCACAGAGCATGGTCAGCCATTCAGTACTGCACTGCTTATTCACCTGAAGTCTACAACAAAAATTTCTGTTTGGTGCACATTACATATACATCAAACTCATTTGTCTTCAATTTGCTCTTCTTAGCAAAGACCACGTATTGCTTAAGAATGCATTTGCCAAATTTGAATGCTGCAGCTGAACAAACTCCCATGGAAAGCCTTCTGAAGTCAGAAAAATGCATGTCTTGAGAGAAACTCCATTGATGAAACGACAGCAATAAAAGCAATGTAGCTTCCCAAAACGATTTTCATCTGCACATACCATCTTAGAGAAAGAAAGTTAAACTAAACACCAGGTGTCAAAATAGGAGCAAGATTACAACTCAGAGTAACGAGCACAAGCACATCAGTAGTGGGTAGGGAACAGAAATCCAGGAGTAGGGTGACTGAACTTTTTTTGAACAACCTGCTGTACTTACTTACACAGTGTAGCAAAGTGCCACACAGAGATACTAGTACAGCTCCCTGCACAGTGGTGGCACGTCAGCACAGTGACACTACGGGGTTCCTAAGTCTGTATGCAACCACTCTGCTTCCAGTCCTACAGGAGCTGACTTAAAATTAGCTCAGGTAGTTCCTGAAAAATGTTTCACTTTTTGAGAAGTGCCAAAATAGCTCTTAGCTTTCACTCTGAAACAACCAGGAAAAGACTTCTTGTTATTGTATAGTTAAATTTCATTCATCGGTGATTGAAAGAGGTAGCTATCATTTTATAGCATTAAGTCCAGATTTCAAGAACATTTAATTCTACTTTTATTTATTTCAATGGAAGCAAAGGTAGGCCTAACTTTTAAAAAATTAAATCCAGTTTTAACAAATCAACTCTATTTAAAAGTATGCAAATATGTACTAGCAAATAGTCTGACGACTGCAGATTGTCAGAAGAGTGTTACCCCATAAATCACTTACCTTTTTCTTTTTCTTTTAGATAAGCAGACACCAAGTCATGCAGAAACATAATCAATTCAGCATCCATAGTTACACAAATGTGGTCTGTAAATTCAGTTACCACACTGCATTCCACCTTTGGTTTAACACTCGTATCTACAGTGAGATAAAAATAGTATGAATACACTTCAAAGTACATACTGTAATACAAAAAAGTACACAGAATTTGAATACAAATTATTTGAAAATTCCATTGGTTACTGAACCAGAGACTCAAAAGGGAGGAAGTACCACAATTAACATCTGTGTGTCCATTACACTGGACTTCAGTAAGGCCAACTTCGTCCTTTTCAAGCAATTGC